TAGTCTGCACCGGAAGACTCTCATCCCCAGATAATTTGAACCCTTCAAAAAGGGTACCCTGCATTTGCAGAATCCCGCCTCCCCATCTGCTGGCCGAAAATGCACAGGATGCTCGACAAGTACTATTTGCTCCCTTATAAGGAAGGATGCTTTGCATTTTTGGGGGGCTCTTCAACCCTAAACCCTAAACCCCCAAACCCCCCAAAGAGCAGAGCTCGATAGGTGCCCATACCGGGCCTTAGGCTGAAGCCGCTTTCCATCTTGATGCCTATAAGGTGTGCCCAGGGAGCAAAACCTGAAGTGACCCTTGCTTTGGTAGTTTAGGGTTTGGGGTTAATATTTAGGATTTACGGCCATCCGAGCGACATATGCTCGATGCTGCCCTCAGCGGTGACAGTTTTGCAACAGTTACATGCTTCGCTGCGCGCAATAAACCACTACCGTAAACAAGTCAATACTCCCGTCGAAGAGTCTTGGCGTCCAGCAGAGCTGAGAGGAGTGGTGCAGCATTGCAGGGCTTGCTTGGAGGTGCATGGGTAGTGAGAAGTAGGCAAAAAAAGCCCCCTAAAGTTAGAACCATTTGTAACAATTCTTGCCCCACCTGTAACAAACCCCAGGAATACCTACCCCCCATGAACCTCCAATCCTCAAACCCTATGTGGGATTTGAGCATCACAAGGCCCGGGCCGCAATTGCAGCATTCTTCTGCCAGGCATCGCGCGCAGCCCTGAGCTGCGCGCGCCGGCGGTTAGGGTTTAGGGTTTAGGGTTTGGGGTTTAGGGTTTAGGGTTTAGGGTTTAGGGTTTGGGCCTTAGGGTGCTGAGTACACGGTCCTCTTTACAGGTACAAGCGCATCCCGATTCCCTACGACCCGAGCATCATGCAGCGCCCTTCCGCCCGGAAAGCTTCCCAAGCTGAGCGAAAGGGTCGGGAGGGGGTTAACGGTACAAAGGATCCCTTCTATACCCCCTGCATGCCCTATACAAATTAAGGGCCCATACATCAGAACCCTTTAGAGCGGGTAAGGGACAATATCATGGGGCCCATGAAACTACCTGGGACTCTATTTACCTGCAGCTTAGTAGTATTTACCCGAAATTTGTAGGTATGACCCAGAAAACTGTAGGGAAAGAGGGTGCCAGGTATCCTTAGAGGTTACGTAAGAAAGGACGAAGTGGACTATGACGTGATTTGAAGGGATTCTGAAGGCATTTCGTCAGATAAAGGCACTATCAAGGCAGTAGAAGGGAAACCTAAAACCCTAAAACCCTAAAGCCAGAAGTCGAATGCCTACGGACAAACCCAAAACCCAAAACCCTAAACCCTAAACCCTAAAACCCTAAAACCCTAAAACCCTTAAACCCGAAACCCTAAACCCCTAAACCTTAAACTACCAAAGCAACGGTCACCACCCAACTCCGAGTGTTTGGCTTGGAGCTGGCGTTCGACACTGCTCCGCGGGTGCTCGCCTGCTGAAGCACCCCCACCCCCTTCCATCAAGCCCTAAACCCTAAACCCTAAACCCTAAACCCTAAACCCTAAACCCTTGGACCCTAAAGCATTCATAAACCCTGGACCCTACATCTTTGAACCAGTAACCTAAACCGTAAACCCGCAACCCCAAAATGGTTTCTCTCAAAAGGCTGCTTATTTTGTGGTCACAGGCATCAGCACCATAAATCGAAACAGCGAAAACTACTGTTGCTTAAGAACCCCCCACCCCCCCCCCCCAAAAAAACAAAAAAAAAACACAATAATCCCTATATTACCCTAAATAAGGAGGAACATTGATAATTTTTCGGGGTTCGTAAGCAATTAGTACAAAATCACCGAGTGTGCAAGGCTTGGCAGCCAATACCTATGCCATGGCCTCAAAACGTTTCCCAGGGTTGGCCTGCCCAACCCTAAACCCGAAACCCGAAAACCCGAACACGAGTGGTTGAAGGCTTAGGGCTTGCTGTTTGGGGCTTAGGGCTGAGGGTTTGGGCACAACTACGCCTGTCCATACGGGTCAAGTGCATTTTCGAGAAGTTGGGCAACGCAGTGGAAACCCCAACCGCCAAGCCATGACCAGAACACCCTAAACCCTGAACCCTAAACCCTAAACCCCAAATTCCCTAAATCCCAAATTCCCTAAAGGCGACTACGCCCCCTAAACCCTAATAGGGCAGCTCTGAGTGGGGATAGTCATGAACATGTACGGATTTAGGATTTAGGGTTTAGGGTTTAGGGTAATACCTCGACTAAAAGTTATTAATGCTTCTGCATGCGGCCACAGAAACCATGAACATTCAAGTAAACCTTCTAAGGGTAGTTACATGGTCTGTTAGTATGGGCCCATAAACCCCAGAAAAGGGGACCCCTTATCTTCCTCTTATATCCCCTATACAACCCAAGGGCCCATACTTCAGAACCCTTCAAAGGGGGCCAGGGACCATATTAAGGGCCCTAGACCCTAAACCCTAAACCCTAAACCCTAAACCTTAAACCTTAAACCCTAAACCCTAAACCCTAAACCCTAAACCCTAAACCCTAAACCCTAGACCCTAAACCCTAAACCCTAGGGTTTCCCTAAACCTAAACCCTAAACCCTAAACCCTAAGAAAGCAAGCCTTGAGTCGTGCGCCTGGTAGGGCTGGATGTTCGGAGGCATCATGGAGATGTTGCGCCCAGCCCTGACTTGCATGGGTTTAGGGTTTAGGGTTCAGGGTTTAGGGTTAGGGTTCAGGGTTTAGGGTTCAGGGTTCAGGGTTCAGGGTTTAGGGTTCAGGGTTCAGGGTTTAGTCACTCTGGATCATGGTGCTACAGGGTCTAGGCGAAACGGGTGCATGTAATGACATGGGAAGCTATAGGTTCCTAGGTTCGATAGTGCAAAGCCTACGTAGGATTTAGGGTTCACAGGGTTTAATCACGGGGTTTAGGGTTCCCCAACAACGCTGAACGACCCCAGCTTGGGCGGGTTGCGGTAATAATTCTAGAACCCACTTGTTTTGTTTTCTTCAAACAACTTGGCCGTCTATAGAACTAAACGAAGCTGACAACGAATTCCCAACGTCCCCCTAAACCCTAAACCCCTGCAGCCTAACCGGGCCTAGAGCATTCCCACAAGCCGAGCTGAGACTATGAGTTCTAAACTCGAAACTCTAAGCTGGCTACGTCACTTTTCACCCCCAAACCCATATAAACCCAGATAAACCTATATACGCCCATATACTGGTAAATCTGCTGCAGCCTTTGAAGCCAAGGAAAACCCTCTTCCGGAATCAGGGATGCCCCAGGTTTGGGGAGGCCCGAGGCCCATGCTGTCCCAACTCCATCGCCCCATCGGTGGTCGTGGAATGCCGCTTCATGCTTGGTGGGGGGGGGGTTAGGGCCTTAGGGTTTAGGGCCTTTAGGGTTTAGGGTTTAGGGGTTAGGGCCTTAGGGTTTAGGGCCTTTAGGGTTTAGGGTTTAGGGTTTAGGGTTAGGGCCTTTAAGGTTTGGGGGGGTTGGGCCGTGAGGCCGGGGACGTCAAGGTGGCGCTGAGGTGGGCTCGAGCATTTCTGTTCTCGGGCTTGTCTCGGCTCTCGCAAGGTGCTATGAGCACTTCGTTTCTGAGCTTGACTTTTGACAGGCACGAAGCGTGTTGAGACTAAAAGGGTTCGGGCGTGAACGAGGGGCTGCTATTTAGCTGAATGCTGGCAACAATAGCGGCGGCAAAGCACGTGGCAGCAAATGCTGGTTTCAGTCGAAAACCGTGCCCTTCTTAAGTACCCTGGGGCAAGGGAACCCAGCCTCAGCCTCAAAGCAACGAGGGCTGGTATCATTGACACTTGAACTAGCTATGCGTTGGGCTTTACCTATCTTCACTAGGGTTGCTGGGGCTCTAAGAGCAATTGCGCTACTTACAAACCTGTGAGCAAGTGCCCATGTACTACTTTCAGGTGAGGGTCAGGAAGCGGAGAAGGAAGGGCTTCGAGCTCCCGCAAGCCATCATGTTGCACCCGGTTTAGTATTGGCCTCCGCGCTCAAGACACTTCGGCTGAGTTATTCAGGACACCCTGACTGTTTGGGAGTCCCTCTTCAAAAACCAACCGTCCGGGAGCCGTAAGAAAAGACCACGTGGCGCGCCTTTAAAAAGATTGCCGGGCATCGCTGCCCCTTTGAAACTTGTCTAAATTCCCCCCTATTAAAACCATATAAACTCCCGGAGCGTCTAAACAGGGACACATCCAGCCTTGACTGTTCATGGGGGAGGGGGGGGGGGAGGGGGCCCAACATACATATATCACATGATCTGATATGATATAATGTATACTAATACTAATACTAGTACAAATACAAATACTAATACTAATACACATAGTACTAGTAATAGTACTATTAATCCTAATAATACTAATACTATACTAATTCTCATACTCATACGAAGACGAATACTCAGACTAAGACTAAGACTAAGACTGAGACTGAGACTAAGACTAAGGCTAAGACTGATATAAGACAATAACATAAAATACATTTTAATACAACATAATCTAAATCACATATAAAATACAGTATAACATGATAGAATATAACAGAATATAATCCAGTAGAATATAATTTGATATACATATATATATATATATATATATGTATGACAGATTCCTGGCTGAACACTGCGTTGCCCTCCTTGTGCTAGCTCCGCCAGTGTCTGCTTCCGCTCAGGAAGGCGTGGATCAAAAGCTGTGGGTTGTGGCATTGCATTGGCTCCGGGTTTAGGGTACAGGGCTTTGGGTCGAGGGTTTAGAAATCCGAGTTCCTGTCATGGGGTAGAACAATAACCATGCACAATGAATGGTATTCTTGTAATTATTAAGCAACAAATAATGACTGGAATCGGAAAGCGGAACAAGCGAAGGCAAACCTCTGGGCCTCTGTGCACGAAGCACAGTGAAAGGTGGAAGATACGTGGCTTCGCTTGTCAGCCGTGCAACACACCCGATAATCACGAATTATGTGCAGCTTATAAGTTTGAATTATGGACACTGAGAAGCGTCTTCTACGAAAAAAATGTCCACTCCAGCGATGTGAAGGACTGCTGCCCCTCGCTTGTTTGGAGCAAATGGCTCTTCGAGGAAGTGGATAGTGCGCCGCTGAGACACCTCAGCCAAGGGTCCTTAGTAGCCCAGCAACCACATTATAATAAGGGGGCACCGAATTTTTTGGGTTGGATACCTTATAAGGGAACCCAGAACCAAAAAAAACAAAGGTAAAGGCTACCACTGGGCTACCGAGGGTCCATGTTCGTTTGGACCTCCGTGGATGGTGCCCACCGGCCCTGACAGCGCGAGCACCACCCCAGAGAAGGCCTGTAATCCATCGGCCTCGGCAGAACTTACAGGCGTGGCTGTCACCATAGGGCCTTCTTCACCTGTGAAGGATGTGGTGCTCGCCAGGAGCTGCGTGCCCCGTAAGGTGAGAGAGAGGGTCGCCAAGCTCGTGCTCTGCAGCTTGCCAGGGGCTGCCGGACATGCCTTGAAATCTCCCACCAGTGCTCCCAACTCCGGCAAGGCGACCTGGCGAAAAGTTAGAGGGTTCTTAAGGGAGGGGGGTTCAGGGGGGGGGGGTTATATAACCCAATGTTCCCTAATACTCCCTACTACTCCCTAAGGCTCCCTAAGCTTTTCGAAGCTTCCCTAGGTACCTACCCCCCCCCCCCCCCCCTCATGAACCCTAAACCCTAACACCTCAGAACCCTAACCTGAACCCTTAAGAACCCTATCATAAAGGAGCTGAATCTGGCGGCCTCCCGAACTGCCAACCCTACCCCCCGCCGCTCAAAGGCTTTCCCGCTCTAAGCATGACCCTTAACACACAAAGGGCCCTAAGTACCTATATGAAGAACACTTACCCAAACCATCATAGTAATTCCTATTATAGAAACCCTACTTTGTACTATGTAGGTACTTAGGACGCTTAACATGCATCAAGGAACAAAGAAATATGTCTTTATATGTATGGGCGAGTGTGTACAAACTAAAAATCATTCCTAAAGTGTTTTGTTGTATACATATAATATATATATATATACATACATTTTTCCATATTCATGTCTCTATACATATATATATATATATATATATATATTTATTTATTTATTTATGCAATATGGGCGCGCAGTGTTCCCCTCTGCATCTCTGTGGCTTCGCGACTCTTGTCATACTGACGAGACATGTGTGTACAAGTTTAGGGTTTAGGGTTTAGGGTTTAGGGTATAAACTACCAGTTTTACGCTCATCTGGCAGAGGCACCCCAAACATTTCAACTAAGAGAAGACATCCCAAAGGAAAGAACAAGGATCAAGCACAAAGCTGCTTGAACGTAAAACTGTGCTTGGTAACACTCACATCTCGGAAATCCCCTCACAAGTTAACCACGGTGTCTATTCGAGTATAGGTGCATGGGGAAGCAATGGAAACACACACACACACACACACATAAAGACACAAAAGACACCATGCTTTGTAACATCACTGACTTGCCTTATAGCCTCCATGCGTTAACTCACAAGGATCAGAAACTAGGATGGCCCTTAAAACCCTCTGAAAAAAAAAAAAAAACATTCCTGAATATGCTTGGCTGACATCTGAACCCCTCCTAAAAGTTTAACTGTTAGGCTCCTTATTGTAGTTTCTACAAAATACCAAAAAAAGTTAAGGTCCTAACAGCCAGCCAGAAGAAAGCCAAGTATGATCCTCGTAAACCCAATACAGGGGAATCCAACAGCATAAGCGCAGAGAACCCGATGGTTTTTCGGACTTAGGGTTTAGGGCTTCGCGTGCACCTAAAGCTGCATGAGTCGCGGTGATATTCGTTTACTTTCGCGTGGGAGCTTTGTTCAGAGAGCCGAGACCAAGAGCATCTGCAAGGCCACACCAGTACATTGTGAAAGAAAGGCAATGAAACACGGGTATTTTATTTTATATTTCATTTTTTGTTAAGGGGGGGGGGGGGGGCGATAGCGTATGTGGTATGTGTATACAGTAAAACTCCCAAAAGTTGAACCATCTTTGTCCTCATATCCCAAGAGGGTTGCTAAAGGGACTCCCAGCACTAATCGTCCTTAAACCATGTGGAGTTTACTGTACGTTTTAGGGTTTAGGGTTTAGGGTTTAGGGTTTAGGGTTTAGGGTTTAGGGTTTAGGGTTTAGGGTTTAGGGTCAACCTTCACCTGTCCAGTCACCCCACCTGGGGCAATGGCACCACCTTCTCCGGCGGCCCATCGGCCAGGAGGCGCACCATCCGCTGCACGGCCGAGCCGCGAAGGGAGCCCAGCTTAGCACCACAGCCACCTCTTAGGGTTTAGGGTTTAGGGTTTAGGGTTTAGGGTTTAGGGTTTGGGGTTTAGGGTTTAGGGTTTAGGGTTTAGGGTTTAGGTTCCTCCTTATGGTAACAGATCCTTAAGAGGGAGGTTATAGTACCCCTATTATATTCCCGATTAAGGAGCTGTTGGTATAAGGGGGGTACGGATTATAGTACCCCCTGTTATCATCCCTGGTAAGGAGCTGTTAGTATAAGGGGGAACCCTAAACCCTGAAACCCTAAAACCCTAAACCCCTAAAACCCTAAAACCCGAAAACCCTAAAACCCTAAAACCCTAAACCCTAAAACCCTAAAACCCTAAAACCCTAAAACCCTAAAACCCTAAACCCAAAAACCCAAAAACCCTAAAACCCTAATAACCCTAAAACCCTAAAACCCTAAAATCCTAAATCCCTAAATCCCTAAAACCCTAAAACCCTAAAACCCTAAAACCCTAAAACCCTAAAACCCTAAAACCCTAAAACCCTAAAACCCTAAACCCTAAACCCTAAACCCATCCCCAAGCCACCACAGGTGTCCACGCCAAAGGCCCCACGGCCCAGGGCCGCATTGAAGGCCATCCTCAGCCGGGATTGGCTATCGGGCCTTCCTAATCTCCATGTCAAACCTAAACCCTAAACCCTAAACCCTAAACCCTAAACCCTAAACCCTAAACCCTAAACCCTAAACCCTAAACCCTAAACCCAATTGTCTTTTTTGTTTCTTGCAATCATAGTCTAGGATGGCCCTTGAAACCCTCTGAAAATATTCCTGAAGATGATCCTCTTCAACCAAAATAGGCAAAATTTAAAATGTCCCAAGGGCCTACTGAGTAGGGTTTAGGGTTTAGGGTTTAGGGTTTAGGGTTTAGGGTTTAGGGATTAGGGTTTAGGGCTTAGGGTATAGTAGCCCGTTCTGAAGTGCCATTGACAAAAGCACCCATTCTAACAATTCCAGACCCAACCCCGAGCTACCCGACTTGCCCTAAACCCTAAACCCTAAACCCTAAACCCTAAACCCTAAACCCTAAACCCTAAACCCTAAACCCTAAACCCTAAACCCTAAACCCTAAACCCTAAACCCTAAACCCTGACCGTAACTGAGCAAGTCCCACACACAGACCGTGCCACTCCAAGCATCCAGGAGGAGTAGCCCGCGATATCTCCCGACTTGTGCCAGCCCCTTCGCAGACCTGCTTGGAGGTGTAGGGTTTAGGGTTTAGGGTTTAGGGGTACTTATTAACCAATGATAACTGTACTTATAACCCACTTATGAGCCCCTTAAGTGCCCTAATATGGTTACAGGTACAGTTATAAGTACAGTTCTGCCAGCCCCCTGCGCAGACCTGAGCTCGAGGATTCCCAGCCCATGGCCACCAGGCCCCGCTCGGCCGTGGGGATGGAGAGCTTCAACAACTCCTCCTGAGAAGAGGCACACATCCATCCCACATCTGCTCTAGAACTTAGTTGTCCAGTAGCCTAGAAAACTACAAGCTAACCCTGGGTTTATATAGGGATGATGATGCGCCAAAACGGTGAAAGGTTATCTACTCCACTACTAAGAGAAACTATGGATGGTCTGGAAGTCGGTGCTATGGGCCAAGAGCTGTTCTGGGGCGCTTTATCTCATCATGAGTCGCTGTGAGGTTGCATGTGAGGCTCGATGAGGACGAATCACGGGGTGTGAGGAGTACAGCTATGAGCGCCTGGCGAGTTTACAGGACCTGCCCTGGCTGGCACCCTCTGGGCAAAACCTATGTGGGTGATTGTCAAAATGATGGTCCCGTTTTGGATCCCTATGATAATACGGCACCTAATATTTAGGGTACCCCACAAGGGATCATAATATTGACAACCACCCATGTGTATCAAGGAACGGATCATGTCTCCGGAGTCTCCGGGCCCTTTCAAGCTCCTTGAGCCGGTTTAGGGTTTAGGGTTTAGGGTTTAGGGTTTAGAGATTATAAAAACAAAAAAGCGCGTCCTCCTCGCAGGCATCACATGCGCAGTAGCCACTCCTTGGTAGCCCAGTAGCCATCTTACAATAAAGGGGCACCCTCTTTCCTGTGTTTGTGTTTACTTCATAAGGGAACCTTGAAACCAAAAACTCAAAAGGCACAGGGCACCACTGGGCTACCAAGCCACCATGCCAAGGGCTGCAAGGTCCTCGGATGGGCGCGCTTTTGAAACTATGGGAAAAGAGATTCCTGAAATATGGTCCTCTTAAAAGCCTATCAGGGGACATCTAACACATCCCAAGGGCCTACTGAAAAATGATCCTCTGAAGACCCAATAATGGGAACATCCAAAAAGATCCCAAGGGCCTCCAGAGCTTGGTAGCCCAGTAACCATATTTTACTTTTGGGATTGGTTATTTTATAAGGGAACCTTGAACCCCCCCCCACCAAAAAACAAAAAAAAGGAAAAGGGTACCACTGGGCTGCCAAGAGAGGGTCTGACGCAAAGTCGCAGCCAAGGGAGTCTCTTGGCCCCGTTCAGCCTCTGACTTTTCCAATAACCAAGGGGGCAAAAAGGTTAAACTTTATTTATCCCTACTAAATAAGGAAACCCAAAAAGTTCAAAGTTCAATTATACCCTAAACCCTAAACCCTAAACCCTAAACCCCAAACCCTCAGTTTCAACTATTGGCTAAGTAAGGCCTTGATCATCGCGCCTAAGAGGCGGCCCATGTCGGGCACGCTCACCAGGAAGGCACCATTACCTTAAGGGACCCCAAGGAGCCCTAAAGGGTGGGTTTAGGGTTTAGGGTTTAGGGTTTAGGGTTTAGGGTTTAGGGTTTAGGGTTTAGGGTTTAGGGTTTAGGGTTTAGGGTTTAGGGTTTAGGGTTTAGGGTTCATATACCCTAATGTAGGGATTGCATTTTAGGGTTTAGGGTTCGTAGTCCCTAATACTGGGATTAACAGTATGATGGGGACATGATCCCAATTTTAGGGTTCATTTGGTCCTAAACCCTAAACCCTAAACCCTACATCCCTAGGCACCTTGCAAGATTCCATAAGGATGGCGCCTCCACCGGCCTTCACCAGATGCGTCCTTGCCCGGTGGCGTCATCTCATGCCACTGGCTTTCGTTCCTTGGGGACGAAAGGAACCTTATAACTGGGGTGTAGGGTTTAGGGTTTAGGGTTTAGGGCTTAGGGCTTAGGGCTCAGGATTTAGGGTTTATACCCTATACTACTATAATCCCTATTGAGGTATGTGAATCATGAACCTGTTTAGGGTTCATGTCGTCCCCGAGGTTCAGGGTGACCCGCGCGCTCGTCATGTTCAGGGGATGCAGCACCCATGTCTGAGCCAGCTGCTCGTAAGGCAGCCCCATTCGCAACTCCAAAAAGTAGCCCAGCATGCCGAAGGCCAAGTTAGAATAGAGGTAGTGCCCCTTCGGGCCGAGAGTCACCTCACGCAGCGTCTCGCAAAGGTCCTGCTCCGTGTACTTCGTATAGGGGTTGCAATTCACAGGATCCCTCTGGCAAGGCTCCATGTGTCTATTGGTGGGCTGTGCCGGCAGGCCAGAAGTATGTGATGACCTTAGTAGCCCAGCAACCATACTATTAGAAGGGCACCCTTTTTTGGGTTGGCTATTTTATAAGGGAACCCAGAACCCAAAAATAGGGAAAAAGGGTACCACTGGGCTACCAAGTGACAATTGAACGAGCGTGATCTTGGCTACAGCTTCGGGCAGGTCGCTACACTTCTGGCCCAGGAAATCGCTTACCGTCTCGCCCATTGACACCTTGCCATGGTCCGCCAAGGCCACCTCGGTTGCTGAGCTCATGAGCCCCCCCACCCCCCCAAAGTGTACACTTTCAGTTTTATAGGGTCTAGGGTTTAGGGTTTAGGGTTTAGGGTTTAGGGTTTAGGGTTTATAGTATCCCAAAAAAGTATACTCACTCAGCTACTAAGCCACTAAGAGGATGGACGTCAAAATCTTGGAGTTGCTCGCGACAGGGAAGATGGATGTCATCTTGGTTTCATCGAACGGTGCACGCCCACCTCCTGCACCAGCAGTGTAGACTTTCGACGTCAGGCCGCCACTTTCCTTACAAAAAGGATAACTTAACGGTTAAACGTTCTCATCCCTTAAATAAGAGAAACCCAAGAGCTGAAGGTGCGGTTAAACGTTCTCATTCCTTAAGTAAGAGAAAGCCAGAAGTTGAAGGTTCTTGTATTGGCTAAGTACCTAGAAACCCTAAACCCTAAACCCTAAACCCCTAAACCCTAAACCCTTCCAGTATCCTGGGGAACCCAAGGTTCGTGTTTGGGATTATAAAGGGAGTATAGGACCCCACAAAGGTTAAAGATTACCTACTCTACTACTAAGCCAAAACCTAAACTCTTAGGGTATAGAGGGGCATACCGGGTATACCAGGGTATGGAGGCCTTAGGGGGTTGAAAAAGTAAAATGAGGGCCTACTTCCGGTCCTTGGCTACTTAGTAGCACAGTAACCACATCATAATCAGGGCACTTTTTTTTTGGTTACTTTAGAAGGGAACCTGGAACCCAAAACAAGGAAAAAGGGCACCACTGGGCTACCAAACTAACCCTAAACCCTAAACCCTAACCCCTAACCCCTAACCCCAAACCCCAAACCCTAAACCCTAAACCCTAAACTAGCAAAGCTAAGTAAGTTTCCGGCTCAACTTCAACGACCACAGCAGCGGCGCCACATTGGCCGCGCAAGACACCTTGGCAGCCTGGCTCATGGGCCCAGGCCGCCAACCTAGGATGGAGGATGGGTTTAGGGGTCAGGGTTTAGGGTTCACATCCTCTGAGAAAAAAACCTAAAATGGATTTTCTTTTGAACCCACGAAAGGCACATGCAAGAATATCCCAAAGGGCCGATACCCTAAACCTAAACCCTAAACCCCAAACCCTAAACCCTAAACTCTATACCTAGCAACACGGACTCCTCCCAAGCTGGCTCCTCCTGGGACGCCTCGAGCTGGATGGCCCTGCGCTGCAGGGCCTCGAGCGAACATGCCTCGGCACCCTCGGCACACTCGTCCTGCACCATTGCTGAGGGTTGAGGGCTTAGGGTTTAAAATGACCATTTATGTTCCTAAACCCTAAACCCTAAACCCTAAACCCTAAACCCTAAAAAAGGTGACCAACAATGACCCAGCGTCATCTTGGAGCAGAGTCTCAAAGCTCGCCCGCGAATCTGCGATGAGACACAGGAAGATGGCCTTGGTAGCCCAGTAAACCCTAAACCCTAAACCCTAAACCCAAAACCCTAAACCCTAAACCCATATTCTAAGAGGGGCATCCTTTTTTGGGTTTGGTTATTTTTTAAGGGAACCTAGAACCCCCCCCCCCCTCCCCCCAAAAAAAAAGGTAAAGGGCACCACTGGGCTACCATGTGGCCAAGCATGACACCATGGCTGAGGGATTTTTCTTTGCGAAGCTTGTGTCGCGCCTAAAGCTACTTTTTTGCGAAACTTGTGTCGCGCTTCAGGCTACAGCCAAAAGGCTACAGCCAAAGATCACTCGATTCACACAATCCGATCTTGCCTGGCGGCTCATGTTATTCTCTCTCTTCAGGCCAGCAAAAAAAACGAGGGAGATGCACGCACAGTGCTTCCTGCCAAAGACGAAAAACACACCCTAAACCCTAAACCCTAAACCCGATGTCCGTTTTCTCCCTTCCGCGCGGCAATGTCCGAAAATGTCGTGGCATGGCCCGCACTCCAGGAATCAAATGGCGACTCCAAGACCCCGTAATTCAGGAATATACCATGAATTATAATAGGAATTAAGGATCATACTTTAAATTATAATAGGAATTAAGGAATATACCTTAAACTGTAATAGGAAATAAGGAATATACCTGAAATTATAATAAGAGCCCTCATGGCAAAGCAGGGTCGCCAACAAATGCTCGTGTGCAGCTCCCTCGCGTCGTCCAGCCCTGGCCATTCCCAAGGACATGCGACCAGAAACTCTTCTTCCTCGTCGCTGATGTTGCTGGGCCACCTCAAACATTGAACCCTAAACCCTAAACCCTAAACTGTGAACCCTGAACCCGAAACCCTAAACCATAAACCCTAAACCCTATAAGCCCTAGACCCTGAATCCCATGCTCTTCTTGGGTTGCCTTCGTGAGCTTGGGACCTTCTCTGCTTGGAGCACCTGGCTCTGGCCCACCGTGTAGTGCTCCTGGAGGCAGGGGGAAGCCGGCAAAAGGGTTTAGGGTTTAGGGTTTAGGGTTTAGGGTTTAGGGAGCTGAGGAAGCTGGCAGCCTGCAGGAGCTGCCCGAAGAGCGCTCACTCGGAGTGGTCCATGACCTCCTGAATTTCGAGCAATTGCACTTCGAAGCAAAGCATTTGCAGATAGGGTTGAGGGTTTAGGGTTTAGGGTTTTGGGTTTAGGGTTTAGGGTTTAGGGTTTGGGCGGGGGGGGGGGGGGGGGGAAGGACTAAGGGCATTTGGCAACTCGCAAAATAGAGCATATTGAAGAAGACCTGTCCAACCCAGGACCTGCTGGTTTTCGTCTAAGGGCTTTAGGGTTTAGGGTTTAGGGTTTGGGGAGGCGTTCTAGGCTTAAACACCCTTTTACGCAGAGAGCCCGATACCAATTGGTGGCCCTAACCCCTAGGCCCTAAACCCTTAAATCAAAACAGGATCCGGCCCTTAAAGCAAATACTCCCAAATATGGTCCTCTTAGGTTTAGGGTCTAGGGTCTAGGGAGTCTAGGGTTTAGGGTTTAGGTTTTAGGGTTTAGGTTCAGGGCTTAGGCTTTAGGGGGGCCCAATAAGAGAAAACATGATATATCCCAAGGGTCTACCTGAAGAGGTGTTTAGGGTTTAGGGTTTAGGGTTTGGGGGTTAGGGTTTAGGGTTTAGGGTTTAGGGTTTAGGGTTTAGGGTTCAGGGTTTAGGGTTTAGGGTTGAGCCCACCGGCTGCTGCGGATGACGAGCCACCCGAAGCAGCAAGGCCTGAAGCTTACGAAAGCTTACGAAGGCTCAACACCTGCTAGGGTTTAGGGTTTAGGGTTTAGGGTTTAGGGTTTAGGGTTTAGGGTTTAGGGTTTAGGGTTTAGGGTTTAGGGTTTAGGGTTTAGGGTTTAGGGATCCACCTTGGGTCACAGATCCCTCAATCGCAAGCAGTCCAGGTCCTTGGGGCCACACTTTCTGCCGCGCATTGGCTTTTGACTTGCTTTGAGCGCCTGAAACCAGAGGACATAACTATAAGGCCTGGTTGGAGTTTAGGGTTTAGGGTTTAGGGTTTAGGGTTTAGGGTTTAGGGTTTAAGGACTAACTGGGGTTTAGGGTTTAGGGTTTAGGGCTACGGGTTTAGAGGTCGCATCTAGTGCTTGCTGCGAGGTCACCCCGCCACCCCAAATACTGTGCTTGCCTGAACCCTAAACCCTAAACCCTAAACCCTAAACCCTAAACCCTAAACCCTAAACCCTAAACCCTAAACCCTAAACCTCTGTACACTGGAGAAGGGGCAGATGCACCAAACTAGCATGGCACCTTTCCCCTTTCTAAAGGGTATGCAGGCTGCTCCAGGGTAACGGTCTGGGGCTCTCAAATGCTAGACGAAACGACGCCAATCCAAACCTGGGTTCTTGGTTTAGGGCTGCTAGTTCATAGTTGGGATAGTCTTGCAAATTCAAATTTATATTAATATTCCTTACTGAGTTTAAGTACCCTTAAAAATGAAAAATGCTTGGCAAAGTTTGGGTACTACTACCATTTGCCGATGATCCAGCACATGGCCTGAATTTCAAAACCAAGGCCTGTAAACCCCAAGCAAGCCAAGGACCTACACTCCCGGACCTGACCGAGAGCAACATAGGCGCCTTAAGAACTAGAGTCTTTTTTTTATTTTTTTTGTTTGGGGGGGGGGGGGGGGGGGGGGGGGGGGGTAGTATAGCATAAATATAAAGGGACCATAAGGTTCAGGAAATAACAATAGAGTAGGTTTAGGGTTTGGGTTTGGGGTTTGGGGTTTGGGGTTTGGGGTTTGGGGTTTGGGGTTTAGGGTTTAGGGTTTAGGGGTAGCTACAAGGCTGTGTGGCTTCAGACGTTAGGCTGGAGGGCTGCAAGAGTCTCCTTTGTCAGTGTCGTGAGGTGGCCATCAGGCAAAGGCTAGAGGGGAGGCAAACCTGCACCCATTTTGGGGTACTAATCTAAAATGATCATGTTTGTTCCCCATTGGGTTTAAGTATTCATAATTAATTCAGAATGATGTTCAACAATGACCCAGAAAAGAGGAAGGTCCAACTCCCGGAACCCGTTCATGGTCTTGCTTGGCCGACTGGTAACTCAAAACTTCGTTACAAGGCCCTATAAGGGAGGGGCGTTCAAGAAGTTCTGTATCCCAAGGTTCCGTGATTCTCCTCAAACGCGCTAAGGTGCCCTAAGCTTCCTTAAGGTTCCCCCAAGTACCTACCCCCATATGAGCACCCCTCCCTTAAGGATCCAATAGCTTCGGTCACCTGGGGGGTTTACGTAAATAAGAGATCCCTAATAGAGTCTCCAAAATGATAGGATTCCCTTACAATAAGGACCCCAAGAAGGTACCCCCACAATTTCGGAAATACCCACCTGGGCATCACCCTAAACCCTAAACCCTAAACCCTGAACACCTTCTGGTGCAGCCCGAGGATGGGCTAGCGTCGTCACGTTCATCGAACTCATCCAGCAGGGATCTGCGCAAAATCTTGAAGTGGGGGTTTCCGAGTTTAGGGGTACCTTGGTCCTGATTAGGTCTAGGGTTTAGGGTTTAGGGTTTAGGGTTTAGGGTTTAGGGTTTCGACTATTTGGGGGCTTATCGTAGGGGTCCCTTACTTTCGTAAACCCCCCCGTGGGAATTCGGGCGTGAAGAGGCAGGGGGCCTTCAGGGCAACCCGTGTACTTTGAGCAAGAAGGAAGTACTCTGGCTACTCAGCTACTGGAGCTGCTCGTAGCAGGGTTCTAAGACGAATGAGCTTTGAGGCCAACGAGGGATAGGTTTTAAGTAGGGACAGCAAAACAACGACAAGTTGTTAATTGCAGATGCAACCTTCTGGCCATCCGCAACTCCTTATCGTAGCGAATACCTCCAATACAAGTAAACAAAGAACATTGCTCATTCCTATCATTAGGCCTGGTATTCTCGTGTGCCAATGCCCAGGGCAACCTCGAACTACAAGGTCAGGACCCAACTCCAGACCACCCTAAACCCGAAACCCTAAACCCTAAACCCTAAACCCAAAACTGCCCAAAACCCTAACCCAGAGGGGCCAGGTCCAACAAGGTGCGATTTCCTTCTACAGGGTTTGGGCCAGCGAGTGCTTTAGGGTTCCTGGTGCGAGGACCTATAGACGAGAAGGCCTTCGGCAACAACGAAACAACGCGAAACGACAAAACCCGAAGACTGCCAAAGAGCCCTAAACATACTGAGCAAACAAGATCTCAATAACAAGGCATGCGGGCTGTTCGCCGTGAAAGCAGGCTTTGAGGATGCAGAAGTAGTGAAAACATTGACAGGCGTGGTGAATTGGAGACTTCGCATGCGGAAAAAATCGCATTCGCCGAAAAACGCGGCGGGCGGGGGTTAAGACTGTTAAGAGGCACATTCCGCGTTCCCTGTTTCAAGGCCCGAACAGGCTTCAGCCAAGAACGTCAACGTGAAAAAAAGTCATTGGCCTGCATGGTTTACTGAATTCCTGTTTTTTGTGTCGTCATGGCCACAGCACTGTGCTCAAACGTGAAAAATGGAAAGTCGCAACAACAGCCAGTTTTAAACAGCCGGGCTTGTGAAGACAGGCATAACTGCCGTAAATACCGCACTTTTCCCGTCCTGGCGCAAAAAGCCCAGGAAACGGACACATACAGGAGGCCCTAATAAACTCAAAGCCCTTACACGAAAACAACCAAAGAACCCCAAACAAAATCCCGAATAAACTAAAAGCTCTTGAACAACAAATGTTTAAGCAGAAGCCCCCCATAAACCCTAAACCCCTAAACCCCTAAACCCCTAAGCCACTAAACCCCTAAACCCCTAAACCCCTAAACCCCTAAACCCCTAAACCCCTAAACCCCTAAACCCCTACACCCCTAAACCTACACCCCTAAACCCTAAACCCTAAACCCTAAACCCTAAACCCTAGCCCTAAACCCTAAACCCCCCCAAAATGCCGAGATCAGCCTGAAAGGTGACCTTCAGCCCCGTCCGCTGCCAGACGCGGCGCCCGAGCGTGGCGAAGCGCACGGCCAGGGCGGCGAAGTACTCGGCTCCGGGTTCGAGGCCATTCCTGAGAACACGTTTAGGGTTTAGGGCTAGGGTTTAGGGTTTAGGGTTTGGGGCTAGGGTAGGGTTTAATTAGGGTTTAGGGTTTAGGGCTTAGGGCTTAGGGCTTAGGGTTTAGGGTTTAGGGTTGAGGGTTGAGGG